AACCCATCAAGGGGTAGCGTTAGAACAAAAGGAGAAAACGAGGCTGGAGGGGAAAAGGAAGAGTTTCTAGAAGCATTCTTAGGCCGGACTCGGAGAGAGACAGACGAGTGGCAGCAGGCTCTTGAACGGAAAGTCGAGGAGCGCTGCAGAAGGAGGCCATAAGAAGCGGATCGGTAGAAGAATTTGGTCGACGATTATAGAGAAAAAAAACCCCAAAACGGACCCGAGTTGTTCTAAGAGGAGAACAGACGAGAAAGAGAAGCCGAGACGAGGAACGGTGGAGAACCAACTGGAAAATTGGGTACCCTTCTGTCCTTTAATTCTTCTCATTTCCCCTTCTACTTTTTCTATTTTTAGTTTAAGTTAGGTTAAGGTTTACGCGTGCAAATAAATTGTCGGGAGGTAGTTATCGAGAAATTAACTACCGGTCTATTGATATATCTGGTCACTCAAGATTGTGGAACCGTTTGAAGGAGAATAGCGGGAATCCAAACCTATTCTGTATATATATTTCAAATTCAGCGTGAAATTAAACTTGTTTAATTGGTAAAATGTGTATGTTTACCTATCCAAGTTGAACATTTCACACCAGTACATCCACCACATGTTTTATTTCACAAAGTAAGTTTTTATTATTTTATTTTTAATTGTAGTCCTTATATTGTGGCTAGCGATTCGGAATGTAATTGTGATATTAAAAATGCATTTAGAGAAGTCTACGGTTTTTACTGGCTTATCGAATAAACCAGGGCTGTGGAGTCGCGTAAAAATTTATCGACTCCGACTTTTCCTTACCAATCCGACTCCGACTTCGACTCCAGCTAAAACACCAAACTCCACGACTCCGACTCCGACTCCACAGCCCTGGAATAAACGATACGAACGGACCCTAGACCATCACTGACGCGCGATTGACTTATTGCCCCTGGATGTCGGCTTCTTGCAGAAACACAGCTTCCTTATCATCAAATGTCACAGCATGCCCCTGCTCAGCAAGCCTGGAGGATGCTGCTTATAGGTTCAGTGGTGGAAGGACAAATGTGATCCTGGCCTTTACTGTAAAGGATAGCGGGCTAGGTCAGGAGTAGGTCCTGACATCTAGCTTGGTGAACATGTAGAGAAATATCCTGGAGAGTGTTGGTCTGCCAAAGCAAACTGATGGGTTTGCTGCTGTGGGTTTCATTGTCTGCCACTTCATTGATTGGTAATCCTAAATTATTTTTTATTTATGACAAATATTTAATTAGTAGAATGCAATTCCATTCATTCAAATATTGTATGAAATTATGCAAATGAAGCTCTAGTTGGGAAGTGTCAAGCTAGCAGTCAAGATTTAACACAATTAATCCTTCAAAAAAACTTTTAACTGGTGTGAAGTATGTTCAATTGTTCATGCTAACATTTTCGGATCCCTCCTGGGTCCTTCTTCAAACTATGTTTCGTTTGTAACGATCCATTAGAATGAAGCTGTTTTTTGGAACGAACTTCAAAATCCAACGGGAATCATGTGCCATCCAGATCTGAAACTAAAGTCATTACGTAATGATCAGTTTCTTATAATGATGGATTATGTATTTTCTTATACGAATAAAATTCGTATTAGCGGGTTGGAAGCGGAGAAAAAATGCATGTTGTCATTCCCTAATTATTATAATCATCATTGCAGATTTAAATTGAATCATCTTTCTGGAATAGGGCTTGCCATGCTAAAGATAAGGTGATTTCATCCTTGGAATTGATGGGTGATGATGAGTTGTAGGCTTTGCCAGTGCTTTTTTTTGGGGGAAAAAAGGTGGTGGAACGCTCATCTCATTACTAAAAATATATTAGATGCACCATACACAAGATTCGGCACACACAAGCAGGAGCAGGACCATCTTAATAATTTTGTTGCCGATCTTCTATGCTCAATAGAGCGTTTCAACACAGACCAAACATCAAATTTTCAAAAATTCACCTAAAACTTTTAAAATATATCGAAAAAAAGGTGGTGGAACTCCATTCCATTGTGTTCTATGACAAAAAAAGCACTGGGCTTTGCACATTTCAATTTGCTCTAACCACCTGAGGTGGTCCACATACAATGTTGTGATAAGGAGTTTGGCATTTGCGAAGTCTGCGATTCGTTCTAACGGATTGTTACAAATGAAACATAACTTGAAGAAGGACCAAGGAGGGATCCGAAAACATTAGCATGAACAATTGAACATACTTCAAGCTGGTTAAAGGTTTTTTTGAAGGATTATTTGTATATTACTCCGGTGTGCGTTGATTCTTTATTTAACACAATTTGACCCCAAAACTCAAAATAACTAAAACAAATAGAAAAATAAATAATGTAAGTAATGAAATATAACTATAAATTAAAAATTCTATCTTATTATCTTGCAGCCATAGATGATCAAGCTCTTTCGTATTTAATCCATCCATCTTCAGAGTCCATACCATCAAATTCACATGTGAATTTCCATTCATACTTGGACACTCAGAAGATGGATGGAGTAAGTCTGAAAGCACTTAGTCAAATATGACAGACATCATCTGTGACTCCAATTTAACCAGATTTGTATTATAGAGTTAGTTAATTATGCTAATGAAAATTGGTTAAAAGACATTAAAAAGTTTACAAACTTTATAAAGTCTTCATTTTTTAGAAAATAATAAAAATTTCACAATTGATGTTACTTATGGAGTTAAAAAATACTGTGGAATTTACTAATAATTCAGCCCTGTATAAATCAAAACAAATAAATTAATAAAAATTTATTAATAATAATGGATAATAATAATATTTAGAATATAATGCCACTCAATTTACAAAATCAAATGTCTTGGACAATATTAAAAAAGTAGGACAGTGTTTATTTTACAAAACAGAATATTACATTATATTGTATAACTCATTATTTTACAAAATTATTTACTGTACATATTTTATTATATAAATAGTAATTTTTCATTTTATTTTCAGTTAACAATTTACATAATAATTTATTTAAATATATCTGCTATAGTTCTATGTAAAGGAAATGAAGTTTGATTGTCGCATTTCATCTGCCAGTCATCGTTATTTAAATTATATGTCATTATTCCACCGAAACTGTTTCTCTTCACCCATTTAGCCTGTTTGAAAACAAAGATGTCAATATTCCATTTACTTCATTGGCAGAATAAATTGTTACTGTATTATCCCTATTAGAAGCCAACGGGGCTTAAACATTTTTTTTAAAGTAGCTTCTATTAGGAACATTATTTATTGTATAGTATTTTTCGTTTGAAGGTAATTTTTTATAGGAAAATATTTCATCGTGATTCTGTCTACTATTTTATCGAAAAAGTACTGCAAATTTGGTCCTAACTGTTGCTGTGAGAGCTATCTATTAATTACATAGTGCAGATATGAGTGGATGGATATGAAGGTAATAATTACAATATGTTATAAAGTGTGGGATGTTTATAAAAATGTTATGTAATGTTATGGTATTTTAATCAGCTAGTGTTGTTTGTACCAGTAGTTATTTTTTTCCAAATGGAAACAACTTCTCAGATTTGGCTATAACTTTTGTTGTCTAGTTTAAAAACAAACATGAAAATAAAAACATTATAATGTTTGGTACTTTGTACTGTGTATTCCTTAGTAAAATTAAAGGGGTCAGTTGAGGATGTGTGTTATATAATTTTGGGGGTGGTTATGTGCAATAGAGTTACATGGGGTAGGATAATAGTTGAAATGTATAAAAGTAGTGTGACAATTTATGGACTATTCCTGGCTGTAAATAGCCCTACAATACATTTGAGCTAGTGCAGAAACTCAGATGGTTAGAGAAAAGATTGTTATTTCAAAAATCCTCAAATTTATTAAAATGTGCTATTTACTGTATATTAAAATCAGTTTCCAAATAACAAAAATATGGTACAGTAAAATAACAGGGGGCCCCTATCAGGACATTTTTAACTAAAGAAATAGAAAAAGTCAGCTTTTAATAGGGATAATACTGTATTTTCTATTGGAGTAAGTTACCTTTTCTGCAACACTTTCTTCATCATCAAAAGACATCCATTGATGTCCTTTATAAGCATATGGAACTCTAGCAAATATATCAAATATTCGATGTGCTCCACTTTGCAAAAAATAACATACCTGTAAAAGAATATATTTTTATTTCTTATCAATGGAATCAAAAATAGTTTACATAAAATTTTAAAGGAAGGTTGTAATTTTATTAGACTAATGAATAAAAAGCCTTCATTCCATATCAAGCTATTTTTAAAAAATTTTAAATGTATAGATACTGTATTTACTCACATATAACATGAAGTTTTTATCCATTTTTCACTGCTTCAAAAACCTAGGTCATCCTATACACATGAGCAAAGGATTCTTTTCATTTTTTTTATAATTTATTTTGTATACTAGTACTTTCTATATATTAACAGGACTTATTATACTGGAAAATTATGGATGCAGATATCTAGTCTTACAGTTCAAAAATAATGTTCTTTATTTAGTTCACCTGTTAAAGAACATTATTTTTGAACTGTAAGACTAGATATCTGCATCCATAATTTTCCAGTATAATAAGTCCTGTTAATATATAGAAAGTACTAGTATACAAAATAAATTATAAAAAAAATGAAAAGAATCCTTTGCTCATGTGTATAGGATGACCTAGGTTTTTGAAGCAGTGAAAAATGGATAAAAACTTCATGTTATATGTGAGTAAATACAGTATCTATACATTTAAAATTTTTTAAAAATAGCTTGATATGGAATGAAGGCTTTTTATTCATTAGTCTAATAAAATTACAACCTTCCTTTAAAATTTNATTGTCCAGCTTTACATGAACAAATTATGTTGTCGATTTTACAAGGTTTTTCCTTGAAGTTTAAAATGCCAGTAAATTTTATGGGACAATGTGTGCATTTACATGCATTTATTTGTTACTAAAAGAAATAAAATTAGAATTGTATTAATAAATCTAATTTTCTTTATTTTGATCTTTAAAGTCACGCCTCCTCCTATATGTGAGATCGTCTTATATTTGAGTAAATATGGTAAATAATTTTCAGTTAACAACAATTAACTGTTCTTTTTAAATTGCAACAAATAAAAAGTTTGATTACAGCAAATTTCAATAGTCACAAATGTTTTTGGGTTTCAGTTTGTTTTAATTTAGAAATTGATATAAACCCTCAATTTAATGGACTAATTGGGGAAGATATGCATGCTATTGCTGAAAGTCCATTAAATTGAGTGCATTATAAAAATGTATATTAGTAAAGAACTTAAAATGTACAAGATGTGTTAAAATGTTATAATGTATACTTATGAATAAAATAATAATATAATATACATTGAATAATTATACTAATTTACTAATTTTTCGAATCTTTTAGCATCCTATATTTGCAAACAAAAAAAATTTTTAATTTTACTTCTAGGATAAATTTTTAGTTTGTTAAATTGTGGACTATTGTATTTATTTCTTTCTTGTATAACTTGTTATTCCACTTTTATCATTACTAACAGACAATTGATAACAAGACTTATAAATTATCTTAATTGTTTCCAAGTCTGGTTTATAGTCCAAAAGTACTTGCTATTTTATTTTATGAGATTTTGTTATTTTAAGTTATTTGTAATGATTCCAGTAAAGCAGTTTAGGTATGTATTTAATAAGTTGGCATTGTTAATAAATTTATAACACCATTGATAATATGATAAACAATTCAGCACAGATCTCCAGGATAGATTATTGTAATTTTATATTCCAAAAATGATAAAAGTAAAAAATTTTCATTAATTTTAAGAGTTTTCTCATTATAAAATACATTGTTTTTTACGTGAAAAACTAATACCAATAAAGTTTTCAATACAATCCATCATCATATCAAAGTTTCATTTTTTACTTTAAAGTTCTAAATATTTTCAATTAAATAAATTATTTGTAGTTAAAAAAGTTCTAACCTTACTATAAGGTAAGCGTCCAAAGCCTAAACCAGGTCCTTTTGCAGGAGCATCTATTCCATGTGCATAAGTAGATGCAAGATTAAATGTTTGGGCATGAGTAGAAATTCCAATCATAATTTTTTTTCGTGGCATTCCAGACAAACTCCAATATCTTGCTACCATATCCTGAAATAAAATAATGGAAATGACACAAGTAATTTGTATAATTCAAAATATATATCTTAGCAGAATTTATTTTTAAGATGTTTTTATAAATATAAATGAGCTGTTTGTAAATTATCATACATAAGGCAGATATGGATGGGGTGTGAACGTAATTGTTATAATGTGTTAAAAGAGATGGAGTTGTTTACAAAAATTTATATAATGCTAAGATCTTTATATAGACTTGTGTTGCTTGTTAAATATATATAGATTAAGCTTAGCTTACTGGCAGCTTATTGGCCAAATGGTGATACAAACTTTTCATTAAATCAGAATAAGTTTTGTTGTCTAATTTGTCAAAAAATGAACATAAAAATAAAAATATTGTAATGCCATGTATTAGTCCTTAGTACAAGCTGTCCAAAAAGTTACTGTGCAGTGAGAAACTTGCAATGATATTAAAGTTATACATTTGGAATTGTATACAAGACCTGTAAATTGCATGTCCCTAATTTTCACTTTGCAGTAGATGACATTACTGCTTGCTCATGGATGTTCTGGTTTTGGACTACAGTTTTTAGAAGACTTTTTGCCAATCATATAATCTCCCATGGAATCTGGCCTGCTATGTTTCTGAGAGACATTTTCAACATTTGCTGTAGGAAAAGCTGTAATACTATATGTAAAACTTCACTTTTATTAAAATTTTACTTAAACCTTTTTCATTCTATAGTAACTTTTCAGACAACTTATACAATTAAGGATGCTGATCAAGGATATGTGTTACATAATTTTGGAGATGGGTATGTGCGACAGCATTACCAGGGAATGGGATGGTAGTTGAAAAGTTTAAAAATAATGTTTTAATTTATGGATTCTTCCAGATAATTAAGTATTTATAATAGACTGCTATGTTTGTAACTGATATATAAATGTAATGATAACTGAATAATTTTGTTAATGATAACATAGTAACTCTAACTGAATGATTTATAACTGAAACAAGATAATTTATCATAAAAATGCAAACTATACAGAATTTGAAATCTTAAAATTAAACTGAAATCATTTTCAAATGTTAATAACTTAAGCCTGTGAGTTCATTTCCTCAGTTCTCCTTGTAGAAATTACACTTCCTGATATCTGTTTATATTAGTTTATTGCATATTGATTCAGAAATTTCCAAAACTCATCATAAAACTTATTAATGATTTGAATTGATACAGCAAAAAGCAAGTATTAAATTTTATTATAGTGATAAAGAATGGATTTGTTTCAAAAGATAACATAGAACATATTTTTGAAAATTCATTCATTAACTTTAGTTAATACAATATAATGTATTTATCAATTAAAGACGATAATAATTGTAATATATTTATACATATTCATCATTTAAAATAATTCATTTTAATTATTAAAATATCAAGTTTACTTTTTAGTTTCAGACAAAATGAGTTATCATTCATAAATAAAATTAATCTATATTATCATCATTAGATAATGACAGAAAATATATTATTATACAATTCAAATGCTTATAATTTCAGGTGATTTGTTAAAATTTATTAACATTTCTTTTGAATTACAATAACTGTATTTTTTATCATTGCCTAATGATAAAAAAAATTGAACTTTGAATTGAAAAAATTGCTTGAAAATATATGAATGAATTGAATGAAATTTTATATATGAGTTATCATAATATGACATAGTAAAAGATATATGAATAAATTAAATATTCAGTTTATTTGAAAATATGATTAGCTTATTTTGCAAAGAGATTGTACGTTTAAAATCATAAATTTTATAGGAGAAAGAATAAGGATATAAAATTTATCAGAGTAGTTTAAAAGAAAACAGACAAGATTTATGAAAATATTTTGAATCATTAAAATATACAATTGCAATCTTTTATCATTTTTCAAATACCTTACGCATTTGAATAGCTCCACTGTTGGGTCTATGGTTCTTCTCCTAATAAGCAAAGATGGGGCTGACCTTTGATTGTAGAGCAATTCAAAAATTAAGTTTTAATGGAAATAAAATGAAAATTAATTGCATTCCTAAAATGCACTTGAGACTTCATTACCCAAGAGTTCTGAGTAGTCAGAGATCCAAACGTTTTATTTGTAATTTTGTCTAGTATTCATTACATTTATCTGATGAAAAAGAGAATGCCTATTTAATTTCTCATTACACTGAATTCAACTTGAAAAAATAAAGTAGCTCTGTACACGCTGGTGTATAAGATGCACCCCATGAAAATGAGATGCATCTTATATGCCAGTAAATATATATTATATTTTTATTTAGGAAATGCATTGTTGTTGCAATGTTGTTATTGTTTGTACATGAATATTCTTTGTTACATATAAAAATATGGTGCAATATTATTTCAACTGAAATATATAAATAAATTATCCTGGTTACATTTGAGTAGCTTTGTGATGTTTATGTGATCGTGCAAAGAAATTAAATTAATAATACAGTTGAACCTCCAATAATGACCATCTCCCAACAATAGTCACTTTTAAACATGGCCATTTTTTCAGAAACTTTTTATTTAAACAAAAAAGTAAAAACAGCAATTTTAATTTATTCTAAAATATACAGTATTTATTGAAAAATATTTTAATTTTTTAAAGATAAACTTACCACATTTAAAGTAAAGTGATGTCCTGTGCTGCTTGGTCTTCTATATAATGCATTGTGATGGTGTGTATAACTTAATCCAGGATGGTAATAATGGAAATCATAAGAGAGCAAATTAACAAAATCTACCACTCTGTTAATAAAAAAAATAATGAATTCAATTTTATAGTGATTTAAAAGTATTTTAAAAATTTAATTCTTAATCACTTTTTATTAATTATTTAATAATTTAGTCAAACTTAATATTGGTATGTTATATATTGACTATATTGCAGTCATCAAGATTATTTATAATAGTTTAGTTTATAGATTATTTATAATAGTCATAGTTTTAATATTTCTCCAAAAAATCCAGAGACAAGTTGCTTAACTTTCCCAGCAACTTTTAAAATTTTGGTGCTCCCATNGTCGAAACTCAACCCCACTGAGGAGATGGTTAGGATTAAGGCTTACGGTAAAGAACTCTGCTTCTATTTATACTATTTTAGATGCGGGTTTTTGCGTTTTTGATTGCGTTTTAATAGGGTACGTCAACAGAATGTACACTGAGAAGAAATTTTTCGATATTCCCCCCCACGGGGAAAGTGTTCTAAATTTATAATAGATACATTTTGAGCCACAACAACGCGTGGCGGGGTCTGCTAGTTTATTATAAATTATTAATTCACTGATACTCGTTTCCTAACGATGACAATTTAGTAAAATATTTTTTGATTTATTAACTATATTTTATATATACAATATACAGGATATTCTTAGGAGTTGACAAGTGGAGGTGTTTGCAAGTGACAAGGACCCATGGAACGAATAGAATGACAATAAAAAAAATACAGAAACGAGTTGTTTTACTTTCCCGGCAACATTTGGTGGCGCTATCTGTTGTGATATTTTGTTTTAAAATCTTTTTATATTTTCAACTATTATAAAATGACAAAAAGTTTAATTTTGAGGGTAGGGATGGGTTTTATAAAAAAATTGTAAATGCTAATAACAAGTAAAATTGTCATTAAGTCCACCCTACTCAAGATATTACGTGCGACTCCCTTTATCTCCCACTCCCTCTTCTTTTAACCACCAAAATTTAACAGCATCAATCCCCCTAATACATAAATCTCCCTGCAAAATTTCAGAAATTTTCAACAAAAGGTACAGGAGTTATTAAACTTCAAAGAGGGTATACAAAATTGTTCCACCACTCACATACATACACACACCTATACATACAGGAAAAAAAAAACCTAAAGATTTTTTAATTTCTCAATGTTTCAGGGTTTCTGAGTCTAAAAATGTAAAAATCTTGGGGGTCATTTTTTGACCAATTGCCATACTTTCCCTCTGTTATATACACTGGACGACAAAAAAAATAACGCACCATGAAGGACTTGTTGGATTTGAATAAAAGTTGTTATATGACATCGTCATTGCTAGACAGATATATGATAGCAACNTAATTCAGCCCTGTATAAATCAAAACAAATAAATTAATAAAAATTTATTAATAATAATGGATAATAATAATATTTAGAATATAATGCCACTCAATTTACAAAATCAAATGTCTTGGACAATATTAAAAAAGTAGGACAGTGTTTATTTTACAAAACAGAATATTACATTATATTGTATAACTCATTATTTTACAAAATTATTTACTGTACATATTTTATTATATAAATAGTAATTTTTCATTTTATTTTCAGTTAACAATTTACATAATAATTTATTTAAATATATCTGCTATAGTTCTATGTAAAGGAAATGAAGTTTGATTGTCGCATTTCATCTGCCAGTCATCGTTATTTAAATTATATGTCATTATTCCACCGAAACTGTTTCTCTTCACCCATTTAGCCTGTTTGAAAACAAAGATGTCAATATTCCATTTACTTCATTGGCAGAATAAATTGTTACTGTATTATCCCTATTAGAAGCCAACGGGGCTTAAACATTTTTTTTAAAGTAGCTTCTATTAGGAACATTATTTATTGTATAGTATTTTTCGTTTGAAGGTAATTTTTTATAGGAAAATATTTCATCATGATTCTGTCTACTATTTTATCGAAAAAGTACTGCAAATTTGGTCCTAACTGTTGCTGTGAGAGCTATCTATTAATTACATAGTGCAGATATGAGTGGATGGATATGAAGGTAATAATTACAATATGTTATAAAGTGTGGGATGTTTATAAAAATGTTATGTAATGTTATGGTATTTTAATCAGCTAGTGTTGTTTGTACCAGTAGTTATTTTTTTCCAAATGGAAACAACTTCTCAGATTTGGCTATAACTTTTGTTGTCTAGTTTAAAAACAAACATGAAAATAAAAACATTATAATGTTTGGTACTTTGTACTGTGTATTCCTTAGTAAAATTAAAGGGGTCAGTTGAGGATGTGTGTTATATAATTTTGGGGGTGGTTATGTGCAATAGAGTTACATGGGGTAGGATAATAGTTGAAATGTATAAAAGTAGTGTGACAATTTATGGACTATTCCTGGCTGTAAATAGCCCTACAATACATTTGAGCTAGTGCAGAAACTCAGATGGTTAGAGAAAAGATTGTTATTTCAAAAATCCTCAAATTTATTAAAATGTGCTATTTACTGTATATTAAAATCAGTTTCCAAATAACAAAAATATGGTACAGTAAAATAACAGGGGGCCCCTATCAGGACATTTTTAACTAAAGAAATAGAAAAAGTCAGCTTTTAATAGGGATAATACTGTATTTTCTATTGGAGTAAGTTACCTTTTCTGCAACACTTTCTTCATCATCAAAAGACATCCATTGATGTCCTTTATAAGCATATGGAACTCTAGCAAATATATCAAATATTCGATGTGCTCCACTTTGCAAAAAATAACATACCTGTAAAAGAATATATTTTTATTTCTTATCAATGGAATCAAAAATAGTTTACATAAAATTTTAAAGGAAGGTTGTAATTTTATTAGACTAATGAATAAAAAGCCTTCATTCCATATCAAGCTATTTTTAAAAAATTTTAAATGTATAGATACTGTATTTACTCACATATAACATGAAGTTTTTATCCATTTTTCACTGCTTCAAAAACCTAGGTCATCCTATACACATGAGCAAAGGATTCTTTTCATTTTTTTTATAATTTATTTTGTATACTAGTACTTTCTATATATTAACAGGACTTATTATACTGGAAAATTATGGATGCAGATATCTAGTCTTACAGTTCAAAAATAATGTTCTTTATTTAGTTCACCTGTTAAAGAACATTATTTTTGAACTGTAAGACTAGATATCTGCATCCATAATTTTCCAGTATAATAAGTCCTGTTAATATATAGAAAGTACTAGTATACAAAATAAATTATAAATACTGTAGTTAAAAAGGACAAAAAGGCATAATAATTAATGATTCTTTTCATTTTTGTATAAATTTTGTAAACTATGTATTCGCATATTTTACGGATTCTCACCTTCTGGCATTTAAAAACAAAAGTATTTTATATGGGTTGTTTGAATTGTTCTTGTGTATTGTCAGAAGTAAATATAAATAGCAATAGAAACAGCAAAGCTTTTGAATTGAATTCCAAAATTGCACGGGAGCCAATATAAGTTTTAATTCATTCCCACATGAAAACAGATGATTATTTGGAAATTTGAAGAAACTCAAGTGTAATCGACGAAGAGTGAATTTGACTGTTAAGAATTGGCAAAAAAAGTTCCTGATTGTCCAGCTTTACATGAACAAATTATGTTGTCGATTTTACAAGGTTTTTCCTTGAAGTTTAAAATGCCAGTAAATTTTATGGGACAATGTGTGCATTTACATGCATTTATTTGTTACTAAAAGAAATAAAATTAGAATTGTATTAATAAATCTAATTTTCTTTATTTTGATCTTTAAAGTCACGCCTCCTCCTATATGTGAGATCGTCTTATATTTGAGTAAATATGGTAAATAATTTTCAGTTAACAACAATTAACTGTTCTTTTTAAATTGCAACAAATAAAAAGTTTGATTACAGCAAATTTCAATAGTCACAAATGTTTTTGGGTTTCAGTTTGTTTTAATTTAGAAATTGATATAAACCCTCAATTTAATGGACTAATTGGGGAAGATATGCATGCTATTGCTGAAAGTCCATTAAATTGAGTGCATTATAAAAATGTATATTAGTAAAGAACTTAAAATGTACAAGATGTGTTAAAATGTTATAATGTATACTTATGAATAAAATAATAATATAATATACATTGAATAATTATACTAATTTACTAATTTTTCGAATCTTTTAGCATCCTATATTTGCAAACAAAAAAAATTTTTAATTTTACTTCTAGGATAAATTTTTAGTTTGTTAAATTGTGGACTATTGTATTTATTTCTTTCTTGTATAACTTGTTATTCCACTTTTATCATTACTAACAGACAATTGATAACAAGACTTATAAATTATCTTAATTGTTTCCAAGTCTGGTTTATAGTCCAAAAGTACTTGCTATTTTATTTTATGAGATTTTGTTATTTTAAGTTATTTGTAATGATTCCAGTAAAGCAGTTTAGGTATGTATTTAATAAGTTGGCATTGTTAATAAATTTATAACACCATTGATAATATGATAAACAATTCAGCACAGATCTCCAGGATAGATTATTGTAATTTTATATTCCAAAAATGATAAAAGTAAAAAATTTTCATTAATTTTAAGAGTTTTCTCATTATAAAATACATTGTTTTTTACGTGAAAAACTAATACCAATAAAGTTTTCAATACAATCCATCATCATATCAAAGTTTCATTTTTTACTTTAAAGTTCTAAATATTTTCAATTAAATAAATTATTTGTAGTTAAAAAAGTTCTAACCTTACTATAAGGTAAGCGTCCAAAGCCTAAACCAGGTCCTTTTGCAGGAGCATCTATTCCATGTGCATAAGTAGATGCAAGATTAAATGTTTGGGCATGAGTAGAAATTCCAATCATAATTTTTTTTCGTGGCATTCCAGACAAACTCCAATATCTTGCTACCATATCCTGAAATAAAATAATGGAAATGACACAAGTAATTTGTATAATTCAAAATATATATCTTAGCAGAATTTATTTTTAAGATGTTTTTATAAATATAAATGAGCTGTTTGTAAATTATCATACATAAGGCAGATATGGATGGGGTGTGAACGTAATTGTTATAATGTGTTAAAAGAGATGGAGTTGTTTACAAAAATTTATATAATGCTAAGATCTTTATATAGACTTGTGTTGCTTGTTAAATATATATAGATTAAGCTTAGCTTACTGGCAGCTTATTGGCCAAATGGTGATACAAACTTTTCATTAAATCAGAATAAGTTTTGTTGTCTAATTTGTCAAAAAATGAACATAAAAATAAAAATATTGTAATGCCATGTATTAGTCCTTAGTACAAGCTGTCCAAAAAGTTACTGTGCAGTGAGAAACTTGCAATGATATTAAAGTTATACATTTGGAATTGTATACAAGACCTGTAAATTGCATGTCCCTAATTTTCACTTTGCAGTAGATGACATTACTGCTTGCTCATGGATGTTCTGGTTTTTGGACTACAGTTTTTAGAAGACTTTTTGCCAATCATATAATCTCCCATGGAATCTGGCCTGCTATGTTTCTGAGAGACATTTTCAACATTTGCTGTAGGAAAAGCTGTAATACTATATGTAAAACTTCACTTTTATTAAAATTTTACTTAAACCTTTTTCATTCTATAGTAACTTTTCAGACAACTTATACAATTAAGGATGCTGATCAAGGATATGTGTTACATAATTTTGGAGATGGGTATGTGCGACAGCATTACCAGGGAATGGGATGGTAGTTGAAAAGTTTAAAAATAATGTTTTAATTTATGGATTCTTCCAGATAATTAAGTATTTATAATAGACTGCTATGTTTGTAACTGATATATAAATGTAATGATAACTGAATAATTTTGTTAATGATAACATAGTAACTCTAACTGAATGATTTATAACTGAAACAAGATAATTTATCATAAAAATGCAAACTATACAGAATTTGAAATCTTAAAATTAAACTGAAATCATTTTCAAATGTTAATAACTTAAGCCTGTGAGTTCATTTCCTCAGTTCTCCTTGTAGAAATTACACTTCCTGATATCTGTTTATATTAGTTTATTGCATATTGATTCAGAAATTTCCAAAACTCATCATAAAACTTATTAATGATTTGAATTGATACAGCAAAAAGCAAGTATTAAATTTTATTATAGTGATAAAGAATGGATTTGTTTCAAAAGATAACATAGAACATATTTTTGAAAATTCATTCATTAACTTTAGTTAATACAATATAATGTATTTATCAATTAAAGACGATAATAATTGTAATATATTTATACATATTCATCATTTAAAATAATTCATTTTAATTATTAAAATATCAAGTTTACTTTTTAGTTTCAGACAAAATGAGTTATCATTCATAAATAAAATTAATCTATATTATCATCATTAGATAATGACAGAAAATATATTATTATACAATTCAAATGCTTATAATTTCAGGTGATTTGTTAAAATTTATTAACATTTCTTTTGAATTACAATAACTGTATTTTTTATCATTGCCTAATGATAAAAAAAATTGAACTTTGAATTGAAAAAATTGCTTGAAAATATATGAATGAATTGAATGAAATTTTATATATGAGTTATCATAATATGACATAGTAAAAGATATATGAATAAATTAAATATTCAGTTTATTTGAAAATATGATTAGCTTATTTTGCAAAGAGATTGTACGTTTAAAATCATAAATTTTATAGGAGAAAGAATAAGGATATAAAATTTATCAGAGTAGTTTAAAAGAAAACAGACAAGATTTATGAAAATATTTTGAATCATTAAAATATACAATTGCAATCTTTTATCATTTTTCAAATACCTTACGCATTTGAATAGCTCCACTGTTGGGTCTATGGTTCTTCTCCTAATAAGCAAAGATGGGGCTGACCTTTGATTGTAGAGCAATTCAAAAATTAAGTTTTAATGGAAATAAAATGAAAATTAATTGCATTCCTAAAATGCACTTGAGACTTCATTACCCAAGAGTTCTGAGTAGTCAGAGATCCAAACGTTTTATTTGTAATTTTGTCTAGTATTCATTACATTTATCTGATGAAAAAGAGAATGCCTATTTAATTTCTCATTACACTGAATTCAACTTGAAAAAATAAAGTAGCTCTGTACACGCTGGTGTATAAGATGCACCCCATGAAAATGAGATGCATCTTATATGCCAGTAAATATATATTATATTTTTATTTAGGAAATGCATTGTTGTTGCAATGTTGTTATTGTTTGTACATGAATATTCTTTGTTACATATAAAAATATGGTGCAATATTATTTCAACTGAAATATATAAATAAATTATCCTGGTTACATTTGAGTAGCTTTGTGATGTTTATGTGATCGTGCAAAGAAATTAAATTAATAATACAGTTGAACCTCCAATAATGACCATCTCCCAACAATAGTCACTTTTAAACATGGCCATTTTTTCAGAAACTTTTTATTTAAACAAAAAAGTAAAAACAGCAATTTTAATTTATTCTAAAATATACAGTATTTATTGAAAAATATTTTAATTTTTTAAAGATAAACTTACCACATTTAAAGTAAAGTGATGTCCTGTGCTGCTTGGTCTTCTATATAATGCATTGTGATGGTGTGTATAACTTAATCCAGGATGGTAATAATGGAAATCATAAGAGAGCAAATTAACAAAATCTACCACTCTGTTAATAAAAAAAATAATGAATTCAATTTTATAGTGATTTAAAAGTATTTTAAAAATTTAATTCTTAATCACTTTTTATTAATTATTTAATAATTTAGTCAAACTTAATATTGGTATGTTATATATTGACTATATTGCAGTCATCAAGATTATTTATAATAGTTTAGTTTATAGATTATTTATAATAGTCATAGTTTTAATATTTCTCCAAAAAATCCAGAGACAAGTTGCTTAACTTTCCCAGCAACTTTTAAAATTTTGGTGCTCCCATCTGTTATCATATTTTATTTTAAAAATTGTTATATTTTCAACTATTATAAAATGACAAAAAGTTTAATTTTGAGGGTAGGGATGGGTTTTATAAAAAAATTGTAAATGCTAATAACAAGTAAAATTGTCATTAAGTCCACCCTACTCAAGATATTACGTGCGACTCCCTTTATCTCCCACTCCCTCTTCTTTTAACCACCAAAATTTAACAGCATCAATCCCCCTAATACATAAATCTCCCTGCAAAATTTCAGAAATTTTCAACAAAAGGTACAGGAGTTATTAAACTTCAAAGAGGGTATACAAAATTGTTCCACCACTCACATACATACACACACCTATACATACAGGAAAAAAAAAACCTAAAGATTTTTTAATTTCTCAATGTTTCAGGGTTTCTGAGTCTAAAAATGTAAAAATCTTGGGGGTCATTTTTTGACCAATTGCCATACTTTCCCTCTGTTATATACACTGGACGACAAAAAAAATAACGCACCATGAAGGACTTGTTGGATTTGAATAAAAGTTGTTATATGACATCGTCATTGCTAGACAGATATATGATAGCAACCATAAAACAAAAACATACTTTATTGTGCAGTAATATGCAATACAGTGCAGATACTAATATCCTGTTGGGCCGCCTCTAGCGCGGATACAAGCTGTGATACGCCTCGGCATGGAGGCATAAAGGTTGCGAATAATGTTCTGAGGCATATCTGTCCATGCATGATGCAATTGGGACTCAAGTTGTGTCAGATCCTGTGGCTGTCGCAGCTGGTGACCCAAGTGGACCCACACATGTTTGATTAATGATAAATCTGGAGACCGTGCAGGCCAAGGAAGTGTGGCAACGTTACGTAGGCATGCTTGGGAGACCGCTGCAGTGTGTGGCCGGGCATTATCCTGCTGGAATATGCCTGTCGGAAGCCCTGCCATGAGGGGCAACACATGTGGCTGGAGGATGTATTGCACATATGCACATATCGTTGGGCTGTGAGGGTAGTACGCATGACAACTAGAGGTGTCCTACTGTCGTATGTTATGGCTCCCCACACCATAACACTGGGGGTTGGGCCCGTGTGCCGCTCCACAGTATAGGCCGGGTTGACACCTTGACCAGCGGGCCGCCATACTCTCACACGGCCATCGTGAGCCCCCAAACAAAAGCGGGATTCGTCGCTGAACACAATACGCTGCCAGTCGGTAGCGGTCCACGATTGTCGTGCACGACACCACTGCAGACGGAGGCGTCGGTGGGTGGCTGTTAACGGTAGAACACATACTGGGCGTCGGGAGATCAATCCGCCTTCTACTAAGCGCCTGGAAATGGTGCGGCTGGATACACGGTTCCGTAATGCAGGTGCCACCGCTGCATGAATGGTAGACGATGAAGCTGTAGGCGCTGTCCGTGCTTGACGTACAATGAGACGATCCTCCCTTCTGGTGGTCTGTCGATAGCGTCCGGAACCCGTTTGCCGTTCATGTGTACCCCTACTTACCCACTGCTCATAACACATCCTAACAGTTCTATCAGAACGGTTCAGATGGCGGCCAATCCGGCGGTATGACCATCCTCCTCCTCTCAATCCAACGATGCGACCTCTCTCAAACTCACTTAACTGAGTGTAAGGCTGTCGAATGCGTCGTAGAGGCATGTCTGTCACTCAATGAAGTCAAAACCATGAATAAAAGCGCAGAACATATGCACAAGTCGTCACAGCGTGCACCTTTATACCAGGCAGCGGAAACATTTTTTCCCCTCTGGTGGCGATATAACACAAGAACCTACTCTCAAAAGCTAATCATTTACATAGCTAGCTAAGATGATGCAACATATCAATTTTTATTCAAATCCAACAAGTCCTTCATGGTGCATTATTTTTTTTGTCGTCTAGTGTATAATAGCCGGGAAAGTAAAAAAACAAACTTACTACTGTATATGAATAGAAGTACTCTATTCATGTTTGCCATTAGGGATTTGAAGCAGAGATCCTGATCATGGCTAAGCTACAGTGAAAAATGGAAGTTCTGACAGGCTCCAGCTCCAAAGCCCTGTCTGCTATAATAATAAATTGGACTATTTATTGAAAATATTCAGTTTCATTTAATAAATATCAGGACTTCCTTGGTTTTTTCCCTCTTTTGTTTTGTTTGATTGGAAGACAAAATCCAAAATAAAAACTAGTACTGGCAAAAACTGAAAATTTGTGAAATAAATTAACTAGTTTTCAACAAAATCAGGTTCAGTAAAACCCAGTTTTTAAATATCAGATGTCAGACTAGTTTCAAAACAGGTTTGAATTCAGTAGAATTAACATCTTATTTATTGCATCTTATTAATAAAGTACTACAGTAACAGTTTGCTTTATGTTGTGACATTTTGATTGTGTTCTTGTCTGGATATTCAGATATACTGTGGCTACATGTCTTCCTGTTTATTTTGTGATTGTGAGATGATAAACTTTGTAATTTATTTAAATTAGTGTTGTTGTGAGAAATTCAGAAACAACTTACATACTTATTGTCTTGGAGAATAAATGAGTTATTACTATGCTAATTTTCTTAAAAATTCACTAATTCTAGTTGCTAAGTAAATAGTGGCAAATAATATAAGTGACAAAAGATCTAATAAATCACTTTTTTTTGAAGCTCTCTTCTGTTTACATTTATATGTTCACTCTACTCCATGACACTTTTATGACAATGCACTTACACTAAGCAAAATAACAGCATATTCCCTGCTCACTTAGTATGAGACCATGTGGTATTGCCAGACTGCATATTACAGAACACTGGAATGCTTGTGTTTCTTGTTGTATTGCATTTACAGATTGGTCAGAATAACATCTGTCTCATTTAATTCTTAGATCTTTTAAATGTGAATTTTGCTCTGAAAATTATTTATGACTCTCAAAGTAAAATTTACATTTACTGCACCAGAAAATAAAATAATAAAATAACCAAGATAAGTATGAAATCTGTTTATAAATTTTCTATTATGGGGACAATTTGTACTTTCCCACAATAAGTTTCTATTTCACAATTAATGTTTGAGGTATAATTTATTATTGCATTAATTATATTTATTAATTAAGTTTGAAAATTGAAATTTTTGTGAATGTACAAAAACTTGCAATTTATCTTTAGGGGATTGTTTTTATGTTGTAGACAGGACAAATTGTATGAAGACACTTAAATTGCATAAATGTACAGATTTATATAAATATTTATCTGTATATAAAATAAATTAATATAATTCAGTTAATATTAAATTAAATATGTATACATTCAAACTTTGATATCACACCACCATTTGTTCACCTCTGAAATTGGCATTAAATTGAATGTAGAGCTAAACTGAAGAAATTCAAACAATAATAATTACATAAAACAATAAAGTCTACATAAATGAGTTTGAAAGTCATGTGATTTGATGAGCAATGCAAAATCATATATTTAGTAACTCACAAAGACTGAAATCTTTTCTATTTACAATCTGTTCATGAGTATTCATTGGCACTCTGAGATTTGTCTGTATAGGAGCTGGTAGTGCTATATTAAGGTTTGACTGTATTCATTTTGTCATTGTCAGAGTGGATCTAACTCTCTGGGAGCCCTGGATTTAAGGTCTCTTTGGACCTGTTTTTTAAATAAATTTAAAGAAAAGGACATTTTATACATTCAGTAATAGTATTATCTGTTATAAACCCAGGGCAGATCCATGGGGTGTAGAGGGTGCATACACACACTCTAAAATCCTAAATAGGAAAGATTTTCTGTAGTATAACTGCAAAGCTAGATTTACAGTTATGTTATGTGATAATGTAAGATATTGATATTGACATGAAGTGCACCTCGTAAATGAAATTCCTGGATCTGCCTCTGTAAACATTAAGTAAAAGTTAATGAAGCAAAGCATTAAGTAGTTATGACTAAAAATAATTATAATGTGGCCAGTGGCCACATTATTTTTAATTTTAACAAGAAATTTCTATATTGGTTTTGTTTTACATTTCTATGTTCTGTTGCTTATTTAAGAATTACAACTTTTCATGTCTTGGGACCCCATAAAAGTTGGGGCCTAGGCTCAAACTCTATTAGCCCTTATATAGATCCACCATTGTATTTTGCAGTATTTGATGATGTAAACTTTTTGATATTGCTTATATCTTTATGCAGGTTTAATTCATTGTTTTTAGGATATATTTCAGCTCTGACCAGTACTTAATGTTTCACTCTTTCAGATTTTGTAATTAAAATAATAATTTTCATGTTATCTAGAGTAGTTACTTTGCTCTCCGCCCTTGGGGGCGGTGAGTAAATGTAGGGGGCGAAAAGAAGCGAGGGGACGATGGAGGGATTCTTATATTTTGTTCTTCATTACTTGTTAACTACAGATAGTGAAGAACTTTTTTAAATTTTGACGTAAATATTCATAAATAAATATTGTAAGTTACAATTAAGAAAAAAGTATTACTTTTTACTAATTAATTATTTATAGTTTATGAATTTGAATACGATTGAATTTATTATTTAGAAGTTTTCTGGAAACCCTGAGAAGAAGAGTTTCGGAAGTAATGAATTCCTAAACTGTGTCCGAAAGTCGAGCAAGAGTCTCACGTCATGAAGAAATTTCTATTCTTAAAGAACTAAAAAGTAAAATTATAACTTATTAAGTTAGGAAAGTTTTATTTTATACAATTAATGTGTTGCACTGTATTAGGACGAGTCAAATGAAAGTGAGCAACGCAATTTATACGCAAACTATTGCCTAAAAATTAAAAGTAAAGACCACCATCATTGAATCATTTGTCTCATTGCGTAACGAGTCTGGTCCTTTGGTTTCCACTTCAGGAAATCTGACTACCACTTTCGCATTCCAGGCAAACCTCTGATGATCGTTTCCTTTGAATTTTTGTTATCATGCGCTCACCCAAGTAGCATGGGCATAGATCATGTGGCCGGAAACTTTGTTGTCTTAGGGGTTCAGATAACTGCTCGTTACTAATATGCTGGGGTCTGTGAATTATTGTAAACGTAATTAAATGAGAGGGGTTTTCCTAAAGTGCATTATTGTACACAGCAAGGAGGGAAGGGTTTCAAAAGTGGCTTAAAAACTGTATTTTACATGTAATTAATGGAAGATCCCTTAATTATTAAGAAACCAGTGTTACATTTTTTTTTTCACTTGACTATTAGTGAATGAAAAATAAACTAATAAACGGAATCAGTTTCGGTGAAAGGAATAAATGTTCCAAAAAACAAGCTATTAATTTTAGTTTTTTTTGTTTTTAATTTTAATAATATTTTCATAAATTAAATGAATTTTTAATGTATATTACATTAGCATAGTTTTAGCAGAAGAATGACAAATAACTACAAAATTGGCAGAATGGCCATCGAGACACTTGAATAGTGTGTGAGAACACGATTATTTTGTTAGAATGATAGAGACCAAACTCAGGAACGAAACTAATAGGGACTTGAGGGGGAATCACGCCACTAAAAAAACATAAAACTTGTTTTTTCAAAATTAGGAGAAATACAGCAGTATAAAGAAGGGGAATGAGGAGAGTCGCCTTTTTGACTAATACTTTATATGAATTATCGTATCAGTCAGCAAAATCAGCCTCCACGTTCCCAATAATAAATGTCTAAAAATGCCCTAACCAAACAAGGTATAATAAGGAAGAATACTTTAAATTAGGCAGATAATGATGACTATAGTAGTATAAATTCATAGCCTGTGCATTGAAATGGGCTTATATCAATATATACACATAAAACCGAGATAATGAGCTGCTTTTTTTATTTTTATATAAATCTATCTAGAAAAAACTTGCTAAATTTATCGTTTAAAATATGATTTAAAATAATTAAACATTAGTTGATCATGTGAACTTTAACAAAATTAATTAGACTAAAATGAATTATTTCTCAGCATTAAACTAGAGAAATATTTAAATTCCCAATTTCAAGTCTCAGATTAATATTGATGATAATGTAGACAGTAATTTTACAAACTTTAAATGTCTTGTTAAATTATTAATTTGAATTAAATAATACAGTATTTATGATAAGTATATTAATATTAAACATAATTATTCAGTTTAAACAGCGTTAACAATTTTTAAATTCGTAGAAAAATTGAGACAACGCATGCCATCTCATGTTTAATTAGAAATTTTGAAATTTGCTAAATAAATTTTATAACTGAAATTAAAAAACATTGCTAAAAATTATACTAAAATTAAAAGTTACAATTTTTATAACTATTTACTGTATTTAATATCAGTATATATATATATTGTACAATACTGTATTGCTGTGATTTTTTTTTATTACGCGCCTAGACTCCTAGCTCTATTTATCACTTTGGTTTTCAGTTTTAAAAGTATAATTATAATATATTTTATTATAATTATATATTATAATTAAAAAATTGTAAATATGCTTCTAATGAAACAAAATCCTGTAAATTAATCAATATATTTTAAAATGCTTGGGGGAGGAAAATGTAATTATTCTACTGTAGATATTTTGTTGTTTTGTGTAACTTGAGTAACCCATTGAGGCCAATAAACTTGCAGTAGGTTTAACTTCACTTTCGTGATTTATGATCTTTTGTTTAGTTGGAATGCAGTCATAAGGAAAAGTAAGAATACGTAGTTAACTGCAATAAAATTATATTAAATATAGGTAAACTGTTATTTCCTTTTATATTCTTCAACAAAATACTATATGCGAATGCGTGATAAAATGTTATATTCACAGATTTGAGAATAATGAGTGTTCAGTATGAATTCGAAGCGGGTTAATTGAGAGAAATGCATACGTTACGTGACTTCATATAATGTATTTTGAATGTAATGTTCTAAAAAAGATGTAATCAATATCTAAATTAAATATACAGTTTCATCAAGTAGCAAATTTGGAGCTAAAGTAAAAGACCTGTTAAACTATAGTAAATTATTAATTTTTAATTGAATTGTAATAAATTTTGTTAAGGAAACGCTTGAGTGTGATTCTAATTTTGCAACCAATTAGTTTTTAAAAATTCTAATCTTTTAGATGATCTAGATACATGAACCTGTTTAAAACTTATTGCATTAGTGTTTTCCAATTATTTCTCTAGCCATCCGTTAGAAACGCTATCATTTATGCTTCCTGCACTTCCTCTCATTATTGTTCCATTTGAGAATCTCTGTGTCAAGGACGACTGCATTTAAGCTAATATTATACATTTGGGTAAAGCATAAAATATTTCAAAATTTTAAATTTATTAAATGAAAAGTTATCTTTTAATTTGTTTTATTCTTTCAATCAAAAAAGAAAAATGTGATTACAACATAAAAAGTAAATTCATAAATCATTTTATTTTTATCCTGTGGGGAAGTAGCAAATTTAAGAAATATAAACTGAAGACAAACCTGAGTAAATTTAAATGTTTATTATGTAACTTCATACGGTTTTATATGTTAATTTTTAAAATATAAACATTAGATTGTTAAAAAAATCCACAATGATATGCGATATTAAACATATTTTGAAAAAGGACTGAGTTAGGCCTATATAATAAAATAAAAATTTCTGAATGTTTATTTTCAATTAAAACTTCTTATTGATTTTGAGAAACAATGTTTTAAGAATGTGAGGCATTGATCACGTGTACAGTTTTTGAGTCACTTTTGACCCTCCTCCTCCAGTTGTGTACAACGATGTAATCGTGGCAAACCTCTGCCCTTTAATTACGTGTACAATAGTTCACGAACTCCTCCCGACATTGAAGAAAAGACTTTAAAAAAGTTCTGCAAATATTTTCCGATAGTTTATTCACACGACTAGTGCGTAGGCTTATTCATATGACTATAAAAACAAAGGTAGTTCCTCGATCACCTTCCTCCCCTGCACTTTTCACGACCCCCTTTAAACTGTAGACTATATGTAAATACTGTAATGGACTGTTTAGTTAAATATTAAATTATTCAATTACTTTTTAATATTTTTATACTAATTTATCAGTACATTTATTTTAATGCTTAATGTTTAAAAAGACTGTTTAAAAGTCGACATTGTGTATTATCAGTTCGTTGTCATAATGTTGAAGTGAGATCTGATGACAATTGATAAAAATTCTGTGTAGGATCAAATTGTACTTTTTAAATATAGGTCAAGTATTAGATGATATTTTACGTATTAAGATTTGATATACTAATTTATAAGTTACATTTAAATTAAAAACGAGTCTTGTATTAAATTTTATGTGAGATAAGTGCAAATTTATTTACGAAATTTTCGTCCATGTTTATTGATATTTTAAATTCTATACATTATTATTGTTTTTAAACGTAAAATCGTTCAACGTTCTACATCGTGGATAAGGTCAGCCTTAGCCAGAAGGCAAAACCTTCGCGCCTCTCAAGATTTACTCGACTATCAGCAAGAATCATTAGTGATCCAGGAACTACCGATTGAAAAACGCTATTTTGATTATAGTTTTTTTTTTTTTTGTTTATACATCTAATTTTTATGTATTTCAATCCATATTGTGAATATTTATATCGTTGTGTTATAAATTTATTATTTGCACTTTCATAGTTAATCGAAATCAACATGTTATTAACGCGGATAAAATAAATACAAAAATAAAGATAAACAAGATTATCAGGAATCGTACTTCTACAGTTGATAATGACTATTTTTGTTTTTATAAACAGACTTTAGGCTATTACTTTTATTATATTTGCAATTTTTATGTTATTATTATTAAGAAATAGCTAATGCAGTCGAACTTCCAATAATGGCTACCTCTAAACTGTGGACATTTTTATCTTCCCGTCAATTGTTCAGAGGTTTGACTGTATTTAAAAATTTACAAGCATGAAATTGCATCCGGAAAAAAATTATGTCGCATTGTTACCCTGTAACTGTTACCAAAATTTTTGGGTGTCAGTCTGTTTCCGCACCCCACTGTGTCTGTAGGTTTGCATAATTTATTAAATACGTGTTCATCTCAAACAGAACGAAAAAATGTTTTAAATGAGAAATATTCTCCATTTTGCCTAAAGCAACATAGAATATTTCTCGAATCGAATCAAATAGAATAAAATAATTTAACATTTTATATTTCAATAAATAATTTTTAAAATATATTATTATTATTATTATTAAAATAATGATAATATTTATACATACTCTGCTAAAGCAGGAATGTCGTATGATGATGAAATAATGGGTTCTCTAGCAGCAACAGCAACGGTTAATAAAAATGGCTTTTTCATTTTTTCGAATACTTGCCGCAGGTCCTAGATATATAAAGTTATACTATTATAATACACAATTTTAAATAGCCAAATTGCAATAGATAGGGTATATTAGAATGTCATATAGTTAACCCTCTGAACAACGACCATTGACGAGAACATAAAGAATGGCCGTTGTTTGGAGGTTAGTTTATATGCGTTTTTATTCAGAAAAAAGAAATTATCCGAAAAATGGCCACTGAGATGACCATTATTAGAAGTTCGACTGTATAATGATTTTTACTTTCTCCGGCTACCATATAACATAGAGAAAGTATGGCGATCGGTCAAAATATGACACAATAAGACTTTTATATTTTTGACTCAGGATACCTTGAAACGTAGAGAAATGCAAAACAATTCGGGTTTTTTCCTGTGTATGGATGTGTGGGGGGAGGTCACGATTCTGTTCACCCTGTTTGAAGCTTAATAACTCCTATACTTACCGAAAATTTCTGAAATTTTGCAGAGAGGATTGTTTGTTAGAGGATGCTATTAAATTTTGGTGATTAAAAGTCGGGAAGGGAGATAAAAGGAGGTTGTGTGTATCTCCATTAGGGTCGGACTTAATGACGATTTTACTCGTTATTAGCATTTACAATTTTTTATAAAACCCATCCCTACCGTCAAAATTGAGCTTTTTGCCATTTTATAATAGTTAAAAATATAACAATTTTTAAAATAAAATATGATAACAGATGGTGCTATCAAATGCTGACAGAAAAGTTAAGCAACTCATTGCTGAATTTGTTGTATATTTTCGTATCGTTCAAGATATCACTGTGATCGTATAAAACGACGAACTCCTAAAATTAAAACATTTGTCAGCTGAATTTAGACTATAATAAGTGGTTCAAAATTTGCTATAAATTCCATTTAAATTAATTTATTTTTATACTGTACGTTCGTAATGATAAATTTTATCATCGTGTTTTTAAACGTATTTAATAATTCAAAATGATGTCAAGATCGAGTAGTATTTTACAATTCAAATTCAAATGTGTTAAAAATAATAATAAAATTTAGAATTGGTATCCGTAAGTCTGTCTAATTTTATATATTAAAAAGTCAATGCCAGGACGGATTTATATATAAGCCAAATAAGCTGCCACTTAGGGCCTCGCGTTCCGAGAGGCATTTTTCTATTCACAAAAAACTGTCTATACATATTGTTGCACATTATTATTTGGTGAAGGAGGGGAGACCTCATCTTGTCAGATTAGGGCCACAAAGTCCAAAATCCACAAGTCCGGCTCTGATCAATACTATGTAACAATTTTTCGTTTCATTGCCATTAACCTATAGATTGCTTGGGTAATTCATGACATTTTATTTACTATTATGTAATACTGATATAAATAGGCCGGACTTGTAGAATTTTTCGGGGGATAGTTTGTCCCGGATACGTCGGGCCCCATCCTCGCTACCCGGCTCTCCCATTGTGGGCCTGGCCGAATGACTTTATTAAAAAAAGGCCCTCTTAGTGACTACTGAGCGGGAACAGTAAAAACAAAAATTGTAAATAGGTTTCTTTATGATTTTTAAATTTTATATATTAAAAAGTGTAGATTTATTTTAAGTAATATTAAAATAAAAGTCAGTCTACTTTACATTTCCGAGAATTACAGGGTTGAACAATTAGGTCATGACGAGTTCCTGTCTTTTTTTGGTCTTGTACTGTTTTGCACGATGAATGCGAATAAGAATCATCGTAAACAATAACAAACAAAAGATACTTATTCACGAATTTTGCGCTTCATCTCCCATAATTAACTTTCTGACGTTAAGACTTTAATCAAATTCATTGCTTTCTGAAAGCCAGGAAGAAAAATGAAAAAAAAAAAAAATAGGGCATCATAGAAGAAAGGCCTCGACGTGATGGGTGGATTTAAGATTATCAAAAGTGAATAATTTACTGGCATGTATTATGCATGTTTTACTTTGACCTAGACTGTTTTCGTGCATTCAACAGACCAGTGTACCCTCATTATTAACTCGATAATCAAGCGTGAAATTTTTATTTGTTTCTATTTCTAGAGAGAAGAAAATTTAATTATGATTGATATCCTAATTCAAGGCAATCTTTGGTTTTTATTCTTTGTGTCTGCCTTAAATGGTATAATTAGTCAGCCATAAAGATGATAATATAATAAAATTCATTTTTTAAATCAATTATCTCAATTGTAAGCAATAAACTGAATAAACATTTATTTAGATCTATTAATGAACAGAATTTCCCTTGTAATTTGATTATATTTGTCTAATGATAAATTATGTAATTATGTATGGTATTAATGTCCCCTAATGCGCATGCTAAGTATGTTTTCTAACGAATTTCGGGTATAAAAGGAATCAAAACGTTCTTCACAATTAGACAGGTTAACGCGATGATGCACTTTGCACTTTGTTTCTTAACTCCTGAAATTTGTTGGAAAACGTACGTAATGTGCGCATTGAGGCAAGATCAGTGCCAAATTTCGCCCTAGCGGCTGAATTTTCAACATATTTTCCCGAAAATAAAACCGCATACTCGGGACAGTAAGTATACCAAATTTGGCTGAGATTTGCTCAATAGTTTTTTTCCTACATAGCTGAACACCTACTCTTTAATTACGAACAACCTGTATATCTATAATAAATGTTTTTAACTCATGCAGGATAAGAAAATAGAAAACTTAAAATAGGATCCACCTGAAAGATAGCCAACCGAAACTGAAATGCATCCAAAATATTTGATGCTTTTCATTATAAACAATAACTGAAATTCGCAAACAAGATAAAAATATTTTAAAACTTTATCAGTAAATAAATTGTAATTCAGATAAAATAATTTTCAAACATGTAATTAATAATTATTTGATTCTTAATCTTGGTTATTTAATTTACTTCTCAATAACAATAAAATTCATTTAGATGCCAATAATTTTATAGTTCTTTAAAAAAATACTTTCCTGAACAATCGAGCAAATATTTATTTTCATTCATTTATAGAAAATATTAAAAATTTTAGGCAAAAACAAATCATAATATATAATGGTCTTAAAATATAATCAAACCTCTGAACAACGACCGCCCACGGGAACATAAAAATAACCATTGTTTGGAAATGAATTGTATGCATTTTTATTTTTAAAAATTTTAAAAAAATAGCTGCAGTTTCGACTGTATATAATATTTCTTTCAAAACTATTTTATCGTAAAATATAGAAATGTTTGTTTATTTTTCTTTTATTGCGTATTTTACTATGTATACTGTATTTATACAAATTACAATATTATTGAAAATCAAGCAGGTGCACTCGATGTTGCTCAGGTTTTTTGAGGGAGTGGGGGATTGGTTGGGAGAGGATGATAAAAACAATCCCAACCTCACCTATCCCCTACTCCCAACAACGAAAGGTACACGCAGCTAGTTGCCTTCTTTGCGTTTCCTAAATTGCAAATTCATTCGGCATAAAGCTCATTTCCATTAACTTGTTTATAATAGTCACCAATGTTTAACAATGACAAAGTTGTTATGAACACTTAATGTTAAATCTATGAAATAATAAAAGTGATTGTTTTCTTATTTAAATTTAGTAATGTTTAAAAAAACAATCACTTTTATTATTTCATAGATTTAACATTAAGTGTTTTTTTATTTAAATTTAGTAATGTTTAAAAAAATGAAAAAAGTTTGCACCTTTCTCAAATCTCTCTTCAGCAGCATCATCTACAGGATAAGAGCTTTCATGTAATGCCAGAATCGTATTATTAGTCCCAGCTGTTTACTGAAACTGAATTCCTCTTTCAATTAATATACAGATAATTTAATAAATGTTGATGTTTATTTTTTAATGACTAAAGTGTATTTTGTATTTTTAAGATAGACGGTTACATACTTGTATAATCTAATAGTCATTTAGTTACGTTATACATCAAAGTAAGAATATTGTAAATAAATAAATGCATAAATTATTTGTAAAAATACGGTGCAATATTATGATTTGGACTGAAATATATAAATAAATGATCCTAATTACATTTGAGTAGCTTCGTGATATTTATGTGATTGCAAAAAGAAATTAAATTAATACAGTCGAATAATCGCCACTTCTCAACGATGGTCAGTTCAAATAGTGACCATTTTTTCAGAAACTTTTTATGTAAACAAAAATGCTCCAGAAATCAGCCATTTTTAAATATTCCCATCAGTGACCGTTTTTCAAAGATTTGACTAATAGTGATGCCTAATTGAAATTTTAATACAGTAATATAATTATAAAATTCTGAGTGTTTTTATTTTAAAAAATATGTTTTATAGATATAGATTTATTTTCCTGGATCCGCCCTGTGCGCACTAATTCGTAAGAGGCCTTTTTCTTGCTTGTCGTGGGTTCGGCCAGGGGTAGCCACGTGGTGTGAGTCGAGACCCGACATATGCAAGACAGACCGCCCATAAAATACTCCTAGGATTTCTTGCCCGGATTTAATTCAGGTTCCTCATAGCAGTAGGCTGACTTGGATTAAAATAAACCGAAAAATGTTCCAGAATTAAGACATTTTTCTGATAATTAAAAAAGTTTCCAAGAATAAAAAATATTTCCTATAAATTTTATTTTTAGCCTCTGTAATAAAGATCATATATGTACCTGTACGGTATGTAGTATTTCTATTTCAGAGGATCTATGCTTAGTATTGTAACTTATTACATTTTTCAGATTATGGTAGTGTCGACTATTGAAGTTGTTTATTCCGAAGGTACTGGCCGGTTGTCTAACTTTTTATGACCTGAGATTCGTTTGATCAATCGGTTTTTACAACGAGTTTATTTATTCAATCAGAAATTCAAAATAAAGAATAATAGTGACTGTTCGATAAAAATGAATTGAAAATGAAAAAAAAAATTATACTCTGCTGCGTGATTTTATCATATGTCGAATCAACTAAATTTTTTAGGCATCCTCTGCCTGAACAAATTTAGAGATGCTTTCTATATCGGAGATAATAGTTGTCAAGAAGCA